TTCATCTCACTGTTTCATCAGATTGGCAACTCTACCACTTACCCCCCCCCCCCCCCCCCCAACACAGCGTTGGAATAACCATTTTTTTATATTTATTTTTGGGAAACTTCCTGGAATAAAAATAACCCCAACTAGCCCCTCGGCAGCACCCCACGGTATCAAGAGAGCTTATGAGATCTAATCCTACACCAACCGTCTATACCTCTCGATCGAAAATGAGGCTGAGGATGTTTGTGTGTTGGGGGGGGGGGGTAGCGAGCTAATATCAACAACACTTCTTATAACTACAGCGTAGATAGATGTATAACCATCACACGGTTTTTGTGGGGCTTCCAGATCATACATACATACATACATACATACATGGGGCCCCACAACTGAAGACCACTGATCATTGTTCAACTCTATATCTAAAGGTCCCTATTATTGTGGGTTAGTCTGGTGGTTGATTTACTACATATGTTTGTGGATGGTGTGGCAGTCTCGGCAAGCTGCCATTGACGTGAGGTGTGACGTATGTGTAATCACGAAGATCACTGCTTGGTTTATTTATATTGTAGAATTTGAGGTAAGGGTTATGGTGATGACGATGTCCCACGTTGTTGATATCGTTGCTGGTTCCCGCTGAAAGAGGCGCCTGTAGTATATATATATATCCGAAGCTGGTGGTGCAGTGAGATATTTCTTGATGATCGATCGTTGATGTATACATACATGTACCTACAATTTTTCTGTTTAATCGCTATTGAATTTCGTATCTTTATTCGAATTCAACCTCTTATCCTTTACTTCAACATCGTACTTACCCCTTAAGCTTATCCCGTTTCCCTATTTTCACATTATCTTGAGCCTCACCGAGCAAAATACCCTTTTTTAACATTTATATCCCGTGTTGACAAATAAAGCCTCAGTCCTTTAATCCGGTCCCTTGTTCCCTTACGCGATTTGACTACTTATCGGACTGCCATTGGCTTTGGCAACTATTCTCTCAATATGGCAACAATGGCATCACGTCCAACCGTCCCGGCAGGGCCATCTACTCCATCACCGACAAGGACGGACAGATCCGGTGTTTCAAAATAGAAATCCAAGCTAGAAGAAATGCCGGGCCACGCCAAACGTAAGCCGCCATCGCTCATGTCTCCAAAGTCACCAGGGGAAATGACTACTGCAGCAAAAAAGGGAGCCGGTCATGGTTCTGTCGACTTGGCAAAATTGAAGGGGTTGGAGGTGGGCGATGAAGGCAGAATATACGGGAAGGATGGAAGGGTTTTAGGACGGGTCGTTGAAGGAGACCCCAACGACCTTGTTGGGCAGGTTGTGGGGGATGCTGGAGAAATTTTCGATGAGCATGGAGGCGCAGTTGGCAGGGTGGAGGTTTTGTCTAAGATAACTGAGCAACAAGTGAATGAGCCTGTTAGTAAAACAGCCCCCATCGATTTTGATACCTCCAAGGCCTCGAAGTCAGTGAGGGAGGGAAGATCAAAAGCTCCACTGGTGAGGTGGTAGCGAGAGTGGTAGGAGGACGCCCAGGTGACCTTGTCGGTTTCGCTCTCAATGAACAAGGTGAGGTCATCGATGGAGATGGCGACGCGATTGGTCGGTTAGAGATCATAGCCCAAGCAGGGAGGAAGAATGACGGGAATATCAAAGAGAGTGGAACCGAGATACAAGTAAAGGGCAATGACGAACAAGTCACTGAGGGCGTGGCTGATGTCTCTGCTATTGATGCTGTCCTTGAATCTATAGTCTCCTGGGGGTCCCTGATTTGTCCAAATTGGCCGGCTGACTGTGAAACAGAATGAA